TCCGGTTTGATATTGCTTGATAAACGCAAGCATAGTAAAATTTCACTCGTAAGCTACACTAATCTAAATTACGATTGGTTGAAAATTGTTAACTTCAGAGCAAATTGTTGTATGGATATTTTAGATTGCACAGCTTTTCAAAAGGATGACGAGATCTAAGAAAAATCTTAGCAAGTTGTTTTCACTATGTTGTTAAAACTGAACTTAACTTGTTTAATGTGAACAATACTAAAATATGAATTATAGTTTTATGCCAGTTTATTGCAAACAAACGATACGTTTTTTCTTCACAGAAAGAACGAGGTGAGCGGTGACAAAATTGCTCTGAATTCGCCTCTCAATCGAAAGATCGGATGTTCGAGGCACACTATGAACAGCACACTATGAACCAGAAGTCGCTATTTTAGAAATTTTCTTGTCAGAAAGTTGTATGATAGTCAAAATTTTCAACGAATCTTATAAGAAATTCTTAGATAGGGAATTTTTTGTAGGATGGTCAACCCTAGAAGCTGAAATGGTTTCCTTGTTGATATTGTTCGAAGTAATTAATAACCTGGTAAACAAAATTGACTAATTTTAACCAATGCTTGATAGTTTACAGATGATTGTAGTAACTAAATCAAAAAGCAGCCAAGAGTGTGTTTTTTCCACTAAGAGTGTTTTTCTCTCATCTTGTTCTGAAAGCGATGCTCTGTTTTTCTCCGCTTACTTTGATTTTAAAATCACTGCCATGAACCACATTGTTTTGGAAAAGTACCATTTATTTTTTAAAGCATTTAATATCATCAAAAACTATTTTTTGTTCCGACTTAGGAAAAAAACTGAATATTTATGCTCGGTGTGGTTTTTTTTATTCAGTCAATTTTCACCAATCGAAATAATAGTTTTCAACAAAATGTTTTTACCCCATTAAAGATATCGACTTGGGTTCAAATGTAAAAAGATATTTCAGTTTTTTTGAATTTCTGGGGGTTTGCAAATTGCCAAATTTGCCATGATCTGGACTAACTGAAAGCGTAACGCGAAGTATTTATGCGTTGCGTCTTATCCCGTACAAAAAAATCGTTCCAATTTAAATGGAGGCTAGCTAAGCTAATCGGTCGTATTTATTTCAAACGACTAACTTTCTTACACTTGATTGGTATTGTCCAAAATGAAGAGGTTTTCAATATTTTCTTTTCCACAGACTATTCGAAGTGAATTAAGGGACAGTCGGAACATTCAGGGTTTTGCCTGATATACAAGCAGTCTTGTTTGTTCTCTTCGACCAGTTAAAAGAATCCAAAAATTTTTTTGAAGATAAACAGGTTTAGCATTAAGCATTCTGAAAACCACGTTAAGAATTGAAAACCAAAGAAACAATTATACAAACACACACCAACACACATCAAGTAGAAAAAAGGCGTCTTATGCACTAAAAGGCCCAAAGTAAGTATTTCCGAGGCCCAGGAAATTAGACGATACGCAAATTAGACGGATGTTACAAAATGAAATTAGAAGAAATTTTGATTTACAGATCTGTCATTTTAGACGTCACTGCTAGGAAAAAGAATAGGCCAACAAAATTTTTTCCTAAGAGTCGAGTTTCACAAATACACAAAGAAAACAAAAAAAATGACAATACCTATCAAAACAATTAGTTTAAAAGAACATAAAATGTCAAATGGGAATATTACAGGAGAGTTTTGCAGTGAAAAAATTATGCATGATTGAAATATAAAATTTTTGGCCATCAAAAATTAATTGTTGTCTGCAAACAATTTTGTTTTTCTCAAGCAATTTGTCTGCAAACAATTTTAATTTCTCTCACTTTCGCCAATTTTCTCACAATTGCAGTTTCGCAAAATCAACTAAATATCTTTTAAGTGCCTCCGTCCAATTTCTATCTGGTTTCAAAAAAAACTGACAAATTACAAGTCAAATTATAACTCGCATCGAGTTCAAAAAAGTCTAAATTTTTCTGTTGTATCGTACCGATCTACAAGAGACTTACTTGATTCAAAGTCAATTTTGGTATCGCGCTAAATGGAGCTTACATAATCTACTAACGACATATAGTTTCAAAAAATGACAGCAAAATTAGCAAGTAGTTAGTGCCGTCCGAGAATGCAGTTTAAGGACGATTTTAATAAACTACAGAACCTATTTAAAAAAAAACAACATAAAAAACCATAAAAAATTGAAAAATATAAAAAATATAAGGGGAAAAAATTGTAAGCCAAAAATTTCGTAAGTTTCGATAGAGTTGAATAGGGGCCGAATCAAAACTGCAGCAGCGTGTTTGATTTTTCATAAGTTTGTTATAATAATGCGGAATGAAATGGGCAGTTTCAAAAACTGAATTTTTACCTATAACTATAATATGTTCGAAGGCTGAAATTTTTGAGACATTGGAAATCTACAAAACACATAACATTTATCTTACAAAAACTAAGAAGTCACCTTTTCTGCAGGAAAAATTCGCAACCGGTTTTTTCAATTGAAGCGTTCATCTCAGATTTGTAGAGTAGTTTTTAAGAGAAGTCAGAAAGTTTCTAAGAAACGGTCAAAAATTCAATGACGTGACTTTCTGGAATCTATTTTTTTCTGAAAACAAAAGGCGAGCCACTTGAGCGCATCCGAGTTTGTTGATTTTGATTCAACTCTCAACCTGAGAACTGACAGAGTAGTTTCAAGAAAAATCACAAAACTTACGAAAAATGGTCAAACTTTTTTTGAAAGCAATAACTTATTACAAAAAAGGTCAAGCGGAGCCATCTTAACGGTAAATTTTTACAAATCTAATGTTTCTATTATCAGACATAGCAGAATGGCTATCAAGAAAAGTCTAAATCTTTCCAAAAAAACTCAATAAATTAACCGTTTTTGATTTTTTTGGGAATCATTGATTTTGTGTGAAAAAATTTTGTAGCCACTGATGCAGAAGATATTCACGGTGAACTTTTCCATTTCGATTGAACCCATAAACTAAGAACCGGAAGGGTAGTTTTCGATAAAACTCGAAAAAAAACTATCAAAATCAAAAACTCGAATTTTATGAGGGCGACAACATTTTGTCAGAGGGAAACTTTATCCGACAGCAGTTTTATTTTGATGCAGGGATAAACATAATAAAATTTGACTGCATACTGCCGAGTCTAGCAAATAATAGTCCCTGCATGTCAATTGATGATAAATTTTTTCTCGTCAACTCTATCCTTTTCGATATGTCAGGATATGCCCACAGTCTTGTGTACAAGATGGGGCTACAATGAAGAACGTGCTTTTCGATCTAATTGTACCACTTGAGCTGAAAGCAAAAATCTCTATTTTTCATCTTTTTTCAAACTTATTAACTGTTGCTAAAAAGGGTTTTGGGGAATATATGAAGAATTACGCAGAAATGATTGATTTGTTAACACAACCGTTACAATAGTTGATATCGAAATTGAAGTTATTCAACGATACACTCATTACACCACTTTTCCAATTTTATGTACTTCGCTGAACCAAAATGTTTGTATGTCTCGATAAAGGACACCTAGAGCCCAACTTAAGCCGGAGGTCCATATCTGATATTTTTCGATTTAAGTATACTGATTTGGAACGAAATACATAATTTCAAAAATTGGAATTTGCCCAAAACGTTATTTGTTTCTAAAATTTCTAAATGTTATAATTTTTCTCACAAAAAGTTAGGGGTAGCCGCTTGTGCAACTGTTTTTAGTGAATTTTTATCTCAGATTTGATAGGGTAGTTTTAAACAAAATTCAAAAAATTTGTAGAAAACGTTCGAAGTAGAAATGAGTGGTTTTTTGCCTAAAACAAGTCGTGGCCGGTTAAGTAGAGAAGATTCCAAAAATCGGAATTCTCGATTAAACACTTAACCTAAGACTTGGCACGGTATTTTCGAGTTAAGTAAAAAAGCGTCCCAAAAACGGGCAGTTTCAAACCTTTCACTTGTTTGAAGGCCATAACTTTTTCTCAAAAAAACTAGTGACTAGTACCCACCCAGTAGTTTCACTTGAATTGTCATGAAAATGAGCATGTCAGCTACATTGCATTATCAAAATTGCCTATCTGATCAGAACTAATTGAACTCGATAGTAGCAAACTTGTGAGTATTGAAACTAATTTATACGAAACCAAAATATAGTGAGGTTGATTTTAAATCAGGTTGGAAATGAGGGAGTGAAAATTAGTCTGATATCGGTTGATCAACTCCTATCATTATTCAATATGCTTTTTTGAGTTTCTTTAGAAATAAAAGAGGTGCGAAATTAGAATAACTTTTTCTGCTTAAAATTTTTGTACAACGCAAACTTATTTTTATTAATGTCCTCTAGGGGCAACGTTGGAAATTTTTAAATAAAAACTAAAAAAACTTGCGTTCTTTGTATCCGTTTTTGCTTCAAAATTAGTACCTTTGGGCTCTGAACGCGCCTTCAGAAAAAAATTATGGTTGCTTTGCCGAAAAATTACGTCGGAAAAAGTCTACGTCACAAAAATCGCTAGTGATCAGAATTACAAATGACCGGGCTGCTACATGAAGTCACGTTTCATGCCCACAAGTTTTCTTTCAAGTATTCGAAATTGTTGGCTGGAAACAACCATTGTTCCCTCCAATGTAAGCAAAAACATAAAATTATAACGCCAGTTGGACCAAAATGAATGCAATCAAAATGTACCAAAATTAGGCCCTTTGGAGTGGCCAGAACATCGAATCTCTGCACTGGAGGGGCGTTCTTAAAAGGCCGTTATTGGGCAGTTTTTGGAAAGTTTTGGCCAAAACTTGTGCTTTTGATCCAATTCAAATTCGTTCCTGATTAAACCAAGACTGATCGTATCAGGGCGAAGCACTGAATGTTCTGACTGCCTTTTAAGATCTATGGAGCGTTAAGAACATAACAAATTTTTTTTAAAGTATAAGAATTGTTAATAGTACCAAAGACGCAAAATTTTTTGCATAATTTGAATAACTTAATTGAGATTTTCTTTAAAAATTCAATTAGAAAAAAAACTGATAAAATTATTCAATTCATGCATCTTTCATTCATTTACCTGGTTTTATTGACGATTTTAACAATTGTTTTATCAATTAGCCCGTATAAATCAATAAAAGTTAAAATTTTTTCTATTTTTCTGCTCTCGGACTCATTCTGCTAGTGGACCATTCTGCTTTTTGCTCCGCCTCCGGTCCTGTTGGCGCATGTCGGGATCAGAACTAGGAACTGCTGGTGGACAGAAGTTTCCAAAAAAACGAATGGTACTCGGAAAGTTCAAGAATTCTTGTTCGCTTATGAGGGGAGAATCCAAAACTTGATACATTATCAGTTCAAAACGCAAGTGAAGAAAAGTATAAAATTAATGATTTGTTATTTTGTTTATGGTTCTCTTAAGTTGAATTTTAGCATCATATCCCATTCAATGTGCTCACAAAGTGCGATCCTTTTACTCTTTTGGTTTGTCAAACACAGATGTTCCGCTTTGTTTTGATTCTGAAACAGACAGTTTTTGAACAGATTTTGGGTAAATTAATTTAAACTAAAGACAGTATTAAACTGTGATAGCCTTAGTCTTTAAAAAATACAAAGAAATCTCTTTAAACTATTGTCGTTTTTTGGCGTAGTGTGATAAAATAGCTCAACAAAAAACTGAGGACTATGAATATTCGACCGGCATACTAAAATAAGCAAATTGAAAAACATTTCAGAAAAAATTACTAGAAAAAATGGAACAAAAATTTGAAAAAATCGAAAAATTTTTCAAAATTTTTGCAGTTTTTGAATTTTTCAAAATTTTGATTCCAGCAAAGGCTCAAATACTCATACTAACGCTAGCCAAAAAAAGCATGACATAGGTGTTTTGCGTTTTAAATTAAGCCATTGTAAGCTTTTAAGCAAATAAAATAAGACTGCTCGCTCGCTTTTTTCGTTCAAAATAAGAATAAGACAAAAAATGGAAAATTTCAGATCGTTTTTTTTCTCGCCAATGGGAAAAGTTTTGAAAATTTTCAATGTCGTTCGAATCATGACTGTAAAAACTTAAATATGATATATCACTCAAACCAGTAAAAAACAAGAAAAAAGTTGAAAACAAAAAACTAAAACAGACCCGAATACAAAGTTCCTCCCCATTTTCAATATTCGGAGGCAGTTTCAAATTAGAGGCAGTTTTCAATAGCATACGAGCTGGCTCAGAAAATAACGTCTATCTGAACTAAAGCTTTGATTACTACCATAATTGATTGAAACTGTTTACTTCAAGCTGATAGAAGCCGTTTCCGTTTTGCTACAAGCTTTCTTACCATAAACTACAATTGATAGAAGTGGTTTCCTTTGAAATCAACATGGTAAATTTTGTTTTTATTATAACGATCAAAAAATATGAAAGTCAAATTTGAAGAAAAATAAGAGTTGAAAGTACATCGATACTAGCTTTGCGCTGCTATTTGCGAAAAAACAGTGCTAATTTAAAATACCCGGACAAAACCTATGAAATGAGAAACTTAAAAACCTTTTTTTTATGTTTTTTCTCAAATTGATGGACAAAAACAGCGGAGACAACAAATCTTGCCGTTAATAATAGCAGAATTCAAATAGTGCAATTTTTATCCAATTATAACATTTTAATCGATAATAATTAAAGATAATCGACTAATTTTTTAGATACGTTTTCAAAAGATGATAATAACTGTAAGACTAAATGTTTTTTAGTTTTGGAATTTGAAAAAACTAAAAAACAAAATTTCGATTTTGACCGCTCAAAACAATTCAAATCGAAAATTTGCGTAAATTTCTCTAGAAAATACTAGAAATAGCATGGGTGACACCAACTAATTATGGGCCCTCCGAGGACTACAATTTATTTGAAAATTTAGTAGTAGTGTCCTAATAAAAATTATTAATTATTTTTTTAATTCTTAAAAAATAAAAAATAATACAAACAAGGATAGCCGGTTGCTGTGGAAGTAGCACAAAAAGTTCTGATCACATTGTCAGAAAATTTTTTTTTTTTTCTTCAAATTAGTGTCTTTTTTGGACGTCGTCTGATAATACAGCTATAAGGACGTATTGAAATTTACTGAATTGAGCATAAACGGCTTCAATTGTCTTCGAACGTAAATAAAAATATGAACTAACATTTTGAAGATATTTGAAATTTTTGCCAGAAAAAAGCCAACTGAAGCTTCCAAATTCAAGTTTTTTTAGTCTTAATTGCTAATTTTCATATATAACTAGCGTTAGTCAATCGCTTTACTGGCTTGAAAAAGACTAGAAAATCAACACTTTAAAGCCAGTTTTTCTCATCACCAGGAAATTTTTTTAAAATATTTTTAAAGTTGTCCGAATGACGATTAAAAAGTGCTTTGATATGAGATATCACTGGACTCTGTCCGATGATTATTTCAGGTACCTGATTTTGCGTGGAAAACAAAAAGTTGAAAAAATTAAACCCGATCCAAATACAGAAGTCCTCCCCATTTGCAATGGTCGGAACAATAATTGGTGGCTGCACTAGACTTGTCCTGCTCAATTCCTGCCCAGAATGTCCTGCCCAATCTCAACTTTGAAAGGAATAGACCATAAAAATTAAATTCACTTGATTTAATTGGTCGGATTTGGCAGTAAAAAATGGTAAATGGTTTTTGCAAGTAAAGAAGACGTTGTAAAACCAAATGATTTTACTCTACTGAGAGAGTTGACTTGTTTCCCCTGGAGAGTTTTAAAAAAAAAACATTTTTTTTTGTTTGTGAAAAGTATTTGACATTTTAATGCCTATCCTGACAAGTGTCTTTTTTGTGTTAAATTGTAGCCCAATTTTCACGGACTCTTTTTTAACATGAGAACTTTTATTTACCAAAAACTCCGGAAAATACCCGATCTTGATTGTTCAGAAAAAATTTGACCCTATAGAATGGTTCCTTTCAGTGGCCTAAATTTTTTATAAGAAATTATAGATTAAACATGAAGTGTATTCAAAACGAAAAATACGTATTACCCTTTCACAAATTTCCTAATTTTGCTTTAAATGAAGTATATGTATGTATAGCAAATATAATTGCCAAAAAATCAACATAATAACCCGTTATAATCAATTATTTTTTTAGGCCAATTATTAGGCCAAAATTAGGCTCAAGTATAAACTTGAGCGCGAATAAAATTCACCATATTTATTCTGCTAAGCAAGATTTTTTGGAGTTTTATTCGTTTTGTCCGGAGCTAGGTCTTTTAAGAGACCTACCTTTTACCAGGCTGACCTTTTACCAGACCACAATGTATTATTTCAATTGAGTTAAATTTTAATTAGGGGAAATATCGAAACGGAAGCGGTTACATCGAACAAAACTTCGCTGAGAAACCGTGAAAACATTGTCTTTAACCAGACTAAACGGTGGCGTCTCTCATGCTTGAAAGACCGAATGCTTGAAATTAACTTTTGCTTACTTTCAGCCAATCAAAATTGAGTATTCAAAATCTGTAAATAAATCGCGAAAATCTCAAAGTAAGAAAATAAATCCAGGCCATTAGTGTTAATATTGGCCGATTCATAATAAGCAGATGAGTTTTCACATATTGCCGGATCGAAGGCGGATTGGATAAAAAATTAATATTTCAAGGATACCGATTTACAAAAGTGGAAAATCAAAAAAGAAAATTTATTATAGATGCACGAATTGTTCCGCAAAACTTTCAACTAATATTCAGCAAAATTCAATAATATCTTACGACGAAAATCATCCTCATGACCCAGACTTTGAATTTATTTCCGAAAACCAATTCCGAGAGTTATGTTTTGACTTATTACGAAAAAATCCAACAGTTAGCTGAAAACAAATTTACGAAAAAGCTATCGAAAACACCCAAAAGTCTGAATTTTTGCCGCCAGAATATCGGAAAATCAAGAGCAGCTTATCGCGTGAAAGAACGAAATATTTGCCGGCCGTCCCCCTAAATATTTTAGAAGTAAGAATCGAAGGAATTTGGTCAGTGTCTGAAGGAAATGAAAAAATTTTGCTTGAGTTGAACAATGATATCGGAATTGCAATTTTTGGTACTGAGAAATCTCTCGAATTTCTGCTGAAAACTGACACAATTTTATGCGACGGAACGTTTAAAAGGGCCCCAAGACCCTACAGCTAAATTTACACTTTTTTGTAGTGATTGGCGAGAGAAAAAAACCAATCTGCTGGGCTCTATTGAAAGGCAAACAACTAAGTCAGTACGAATATATCCTGCAAAAATTACAGGAAAAATTTTTATTGATCCTGAAACCATAATTTCCGATTTCGAACTCAGTTTCATTGCTGCATTTAGTAAAGTCTTACCATACACTATTCATTATGGCTGCTACTTTCATTACACCCAAGCGATTTACCGAAATCATGGGATTCACTCAAATTTACAGAAAAAACACAAATTTCCAAAACTTTGCGCAAAAAATTTTCGCCTTGGGATTTGTTTCACCCAATTTAGTGGTCAGTTATTACCATCGACTTGTTGGACGCCAAAATATACAGGTACTTGTCAATTGTTTCCAAAATTACGAGATTTTTTGAATTATTTTCAAAATTTTGGATAAAAAAATGAAGATTGGAATGTGGAATGCTTATAATATACCCTACAATTTACGAACAACCAATATTTGCGAAAGCTGACATTCAAGCTGGAACCGTGAAATAGCCAGGATCAGATCGTCCTTGTGGGTAATAGTTTACTATTTGAAAATCCAAGAAATACGAATGCGTTTACTTTTTGGCCGGATCGAAAAGGGCGAAAAACCTCCTGCCCAAAAATTTAAATGGCGTCAGTTGAACGCCAAAATTCGAAGACTGAGAAACTCTTATGAACTTGAACTGATAACTCTTGGTGTTTATCTGAATAACATTGCGGTTATTACCCGCAATTTGTAATATTTTTGATTATTTTCTACTGATTAATACGTTTTCTGTTAATATTGACTTCGATATGTGGGAGAGGCATTTAGCCAATAAGAACGATTAGCGATTTTGTTTGGTTGAAATTTTTCAAGCATTCGGTCCTTCAAGCATGAGAACCCTCCCCAGACTAAACGTCGTCATTGCATCTGTCAATCAAATTTGTTTATCCACTCTGGTAAAAGGTCCATGTTCTAACTTTTCTCGTAAAAGGTCGGTCTGGTAAAAAGTCGGTCCCGTTTTGTCCGATAGTTTAAATCAGCACTGTTTAGTGAAGTACAAAAATTAATTCCAGTAATCAAATTTTAAATACTCAACCCTGATTGGCTGGTTCTGACGCCGTTGCCCCTTCTTGATTGCCTGATAGCTTGCACGGCTTCGAAAAAGCACTACCTGATTCAATTTTTAATCCGAATTTCGGCTCGAAAAACAATCTAGATTTTGATGCTTATTTTTCGTTTTTTAAAAATTAGAGACAAAACTGGTGTTTGAGTAAATCATATATCTTACTCTGTAGTTTTGATTTTTTTTTTCAAAACCGTTTAAAATTTAAAGCTAATTTTGTTCAAGTTTGAGTTCTCATTTTTGACGTTTATATTCACTGATCGATTCAGTTTTTGCTTTTGTTGAGCCGAAAATTGGATTCTCGCCAGCTGAGCTCTGTTTTCCGGCACCCAGTTTTGAAGTCATTCCAGGCTCATTCGGGTTGCTTCTGGTCCATTTCTGAGGCATGACGCAAATAGTTTAGACAGCAGCAGTTATCTCAAGAATTGCAATTAAATAAAGAAGTAAGCCCGAGTCGAGATTTTTCACCTAATTTGAAGCAAGATTTGAGCGGTTTGAGCGGTTTTTTAGACAATTACGCTCAAAATCTTGCTTCAAAATGAGCGGTTTTTGAACGGTTTTATCTAAAAAAAACCGCGCAAGATTTTTGAGCGGTTTTTGAGCGGTTTCTTTAGATAAACCGTTCAAAAACCGCTCAAACCGCTCATTTTAACATGGTTAAGAATACCATGGTTAAAAATAGTTGGATCTGCTTAACAATCCCCCCCTTTCAAGAAAGGGGGATATTCTTTAGCAGATACAATAGGGGGGGGGGGGATTGTTAAGTAGATCCGAACAGTTTATTCTATTAGTAGTTTGAATGGAATCAAATCAGTTGTTGCAAAGAGACAAATCTTATTCTTGTTTCCGAATCTAGCCCTACTCGAATTAATGCGAAAATATAGTCACAAACTGACACAGAAAGTTAAAGTTTTAAAAAATACGTTGAAGTTTCGCTTGCGTTTTATTAGTGTAAACTGTAATTGAATAGCAAAACTTCAGTAGTTAAGTTTCTTTCTGGGAATAGGCAACCAACTTGGTAGCAACACAGAAATTTGTAGATAAATGGTACCTACATTTGGCTTGTAGCCGGGCCATTTTGGTAAGCACAGTTCCTGCATATTACTGCAAAGCAAAACCAAGAACCTCGAAAAGTACAACGGAACCAAGAAATTCCTATGACCGAAGGACCGATTGACCGAAAAATTAGTCCTGGGTCAAAATTTTTGCATAAAATTTTCCATGAAAAATTTTCCTTTTGCATTAAAAGGGGCTGAACGATTGGTTCACTTGTAATGACTGGTAGAAATGACCCAATGACACCAAATTATTTATTCATGCCATTCCATAGCAAATGAGGAATGAACGAAAAATTGGGTCCATTGAGCCCTTTTCTCAAAGGAATTGAACCAACTCATTGAGTACCCAAGACCACGTGCTAATTCTGTTCTATCAATTCGTAGAGTTACTCTTTGTTTTGACCTACATTTAAACTAAAATTAGGAAACTTAAGGAGCCCAATCTGCTAAAATCTGGGCTTATTTAGTTTCTTTTGCTAAAAATTGGGCTCATTCAGCCCCCTTTCGGAGAACTGGGCTCATTCATCCCCATACCGAAAAAAACAGGGTGCAAAAAATTGGGCTCATTTTGTTAAAAATTGGACTCATTGATTGTAGACCAAAATGGGGAGCAGAATTCAACAGATCTAAATACCTGATCGGAAAATCAGACCGTTCTTAGAAATTTCTGAACGAATAGACATACAGCAATAACCTGTTCATCAATAATTGAGCGGTTAAAAACAAAATTCAGGTCCAATAGCCTTCTCCAATCTATTTTTAGTCGATGGTTTTGCGTGTTTTTGTCTCATTTAAATGGCCAGTAGATTAGACTGAAAACAATTTATTATGATTATCATGATTCCGAATTTCGAATAAAAAGCGAAATTTTTTTAATAGTTTAGACTAAAAAAAAATCTTCATACGCCATGAAAAACGTGTCCCTGTGTTCAAAAAACAAGAAAATAGTTTTTTTTTGTAAAAATTTAAGTGCTCGAAAATTGCTTATGGACTGTGTTGGTTCCAAATAAACGGATTTGATTCTGGAATCAAATGGAATCAACATTAAGCAATATATTTATGCGTGGCGACATATCGCGCTCTAAAATATTTTTCCAAACTACTTTTTCACACTTATTTTTTCGAGATGGTTCAAAATTTATGGATTTTTGATCTTCTGGTTATCAACAACTTTTCGATAACGGTTAAGGGGGCATTCGGAACACTCAGGAAATCGCCCCGATACACGCGCAGGGCAGTATTGTTAACATTATTGTAGTTTGATACACCAGTTGACCTCTCCATAAAGAAAAACTAATTACACCAAATTTTATAATTTTCGTAGAGCAAAATTCACCGTTACAATACAAACATCCTTTTTGGTAAATGTATGTGTTAAAAAATTAGGATAACACTCGTAGTTGATTAAGAGTGGTAACTTAAATTAAGACTAGATTAAGACTAAGGTTTGGTAAGATTCCTACAAAAAAATGTAGGCTTTTATTAAAGACTAAATAAAAGACGGTAATAGCTAACTAAAGTAAGAGAGGTTAAAAAGATTGAATTAGTTTTCTGTTGATTTGTTGCATGTCACAAAAGATAGTGAACAAATTCCAAGTCTACCAAAAGCCGTTGCGCTTTTGGCAGGTGTATATAAATTAATAACGTAAAGGTCAACGATCAGTATAGCTCAGAGGTTAAACGATCAAACATTAATAATACATTTTACATTCCCCGCGAAAATTTATCTAAAACCTATTACTTTCGCCTCGCAAAAAAAAGTATTTAGGCGCTAGGTTGAATGAACAAGTGGGCTCGTTGGCCAAGACCCCAAAAGTGGGTCTGATTTACTAGCAGACATTAATCTCGACAAAGCACTGAGGACTAAGAAAGCGTGTTTCCTACTGAACAAAAATTTAATGCACGGTTACCAGGTCAAAGGAACGGGTGTACGGGTCGGAAAAGACCGCGCAAACGGGTCCGATGGGCTGGAAGACGTATTCTTTAAGTAACAACACAAAAGAAAAAAAACAAAGCACCTTAAATTGAATAGCATGTTTCGTCAGGCGAAATTAAATGTAGTCCAATTACTATAGCCGAGCAAAGAACTGAAATAGCGCTGGGGTGATTGAGGCAGTAGGGTAGGCAGGGTATTATCCCCAAAGGCAGGTCCAATTAAGAAGGGTAGTACTATGATGGATAGATCTAATAATTATCCAGTGGTAGCACCCAATGGGTGATAGAGAAATTTAACATCATTGAAAACGAGGTTATGGGGTGTTGCCAGAAGTAATCTAAGTTTTTGGCGTATTATGCCAGCACTGGGAGTTTATATGACTCTAAAGGCGATAGAATGTTACATAGCATTCAACAATAGACAGAATACTAGAGTACTAAAAGTTTTTAATGGAGTTTATGAGAGTTTATGAAAGTTTATGATAGCATCTAGACTGAAACTCCTACTTCTAATTCGCTTCCCGATTTGCCGCTTTGTTGATTGTCCATCTCCTTAACTCCTCCAGCGTCATTGGCCGTCCTAGGAGTTCTATCGCCGAAATGATAGAAGAAGTGTTCAGCCAGTCCGGGTCAAGTACAATGGGAGCAGATGTTGAATAAGAGGTTTCGGAGGGTAGGCCCGATGGGTTGAATTGAGTGGTACAGACCTCAGGACTAAATTTGACCTTCTTGCGAGGAGTATGTTGGTCATCTGCTACCGAGGGCTTTGGATCACTTGGGTACACAGAGCTTTCTTCCCTCAAGTGAACTATAGCGGGACGCGAAGATGAGGGTGGTGTTAAGGTTGTCAAGTCTACAAAGTCGACTTGATGGCTCTCCATTTCGACGGTAGTTGCTTCTATCGTTGTGTAAGCTGGGGGAGAACTAGGTGAATTAAATGTTAGGCCGTCCTGATCTTCATTTGTTAAATCAACTACACTGGTAAACACTCTCTCACCTAGCATCTTGGGAGGCTGTCTAGTTCGCATAGGTCTGGTGTTCTGTCGTGTAAAGATTTCTGGCAGTTTCTTCGAGGGTGGTGATTTCATCGGAGATGACGCTTTCCTCTTAGCGGTACCGGACAGTTTCGGTTTTTTAGTTGCAAGGTCAGAGTATAGTTGCTTAGATTCCGCCTCCGCCATGGCGATTGGCTCTACACTAGTCTCGGTAAATTCCCCTCCAGGATTCTCCGGAAGAAACGGCTTTTCTTTATTCGCTTGATTGGCCTCCTCAGTAGTGTCCAGGAAAACCAACTGTGGGGTCACTTGTGGGTCCCTTTCATTATCACCTGAATCCAAGTCGATCAGGGGAATCTTATCCAACTCGACCTTCTGTTCGACATGATCCGGTATTTCTGGCTTACGATCTGTTCGGTCGGAGATTAGGTGTTCCTCCGATTTTGTAGCTTCAAGTGATGTTTTATTCTTGAGGTCTTTTAGCGAAATTAGGTCGCTGGCGTTATCGTCTGAGATCTCTTCATGTGATTCGTTCATCATTCCAGGTTCTTTGTCGCAACTTTTCCGATGGTCGGGTTTACCCGACGGGCTTGATTCTTGGTCACTTTCGAGGCCTATTGGGATTCTAAATCTCTTCCTCTGTTCTTCTTCCTCTCTGAGAAGAGTTTCTCTAGAGCTGTTCATGGCCGCGTTCCGCCTCGCTATATCAAGCTCTTCGAATTTCGACTGGAGGTTTCTTTTCTTTTGCGTCGTTCTTGAGCTTTTAAATCCGACATTTCTCTGCGGTTTTGCAGTTTTCCTCAGTCCTTTAGTCGCGTAGAATCTAACTAATTGATCTCGTTTTCTCGGGCTGGGTTTCTTCTGAGTGAGTTGTCTTTTAATAGCCGGCGGGTTATTCAGTTTTGAGTCCTTTATGCCCAAGGCATCTCTCTTTTCTGCCCGAGAAAGCACTTTTACTGGGGATCCAGCACTGGTTGGTACGTATCTCACTGCATTTGAGATATCCTCCGAGGATGAGGACTTTTCGTCAACGTCTCCATCTTTTATATCGTCGGTAACGTCCCAGTCGTATCTACGCTCTCG